CTCCTGTTTTTTCATGAATTCCTATCAGTCTTATGTTATTTTTCTTTGTATCGTCTAGGAGTTGTTGGATTGATTTCTCATGATCCCTTACTGTTTTTAATAGACCTCTTTTTTCACGGTCACTGACTGCTATCCTATCTTCTATATCTGAAATTCTATCTTCGCAATCTTTTATTCTGTTTCGTACACTTTCAATAGAGTTTTTAATCTCCTGGATATCTGTTTGAATCTGTTTTATGGATTCCATTTCTTTCCTCTGTTGGGCATTCATTGTTTCCATGTCTTTCTTATGCTGAGTCTTCATGGCTTCTATCACAGTCTTGAGCTCATCTATTTTTTTCTCAGTTTCTGCTCTAGAGTCTCGAATCATGACTTCTATTTTGCTCATCATCTCTCTGGCTAGCTGGGAAATTATTTCTGATTTGAATTTTTCTAGAGCCTGATTGATCAATTTTGTTACCTCCTGTGCTATGGGTCCAGGGAGTCCTGTTGGTTCACTATCAGACTTTTCATCCTCATTTGTCCTACTATTTGCTATTGGTGAACTGGATATTTGTTTTTGTGTCTTGCTTAAGTGTTTTCTCATTTTTATTTTTATTGTTGGGTTGTCCTTCTTTAATTTCTGGGTATTACTTAAATCTTCCTAATATAGTTGCGTTTTAGCTTTTGAGTATCTTATGACTCATAGACATTCTCGTTTTCATAATATCAGAGAAAACAACTCTTTAAATCAATCACCACTCTTTGTCCCAATTGATACATTCAGCAGCCCAATAGGATCAGGCACAGCTTGCCAACTGACCACTTATGGTAGTCATTAATGTATCACCTTTAACTCATGTGAATTAGATTAATTTCAAGAAGCAGCTCATAGTATGTTTGCAGTGAATATTCTTTTCAATATGGCATCTTTACCATTTAGGATGGGGGGTTCGACTTAGAACAAGAGGATTAGATAAGTGAAAGAATTAGAGCAGGTTTGAAGTGAATCCAGAGGTTGTAGAATTACCTTACTATCTTTACAAAGCTATTAAGTTCAGGGGGGATAGAGAGAGTGCAGGAATAAGGACAGGAATATATCCCCTTAACAGTAACAGGCGCTTGCCTTCCCTTGAAGGTACAGAGCCATGAGTGAGGTAAAATGACTGGAGAAAAGAACATAAAGAGAAACCCGTCCTAAAAACAAAAAATAAAAAAAGAAGTCTGAGTTCTTCAGGAACTGGAATAAAAAGGGAGATGAGGGACACTATGGTGGAGCAAGAGACTGAGTTGGAGAGACAGGACAGAAAAAAGAAAGAAATTTTAGGGTGGAAAGAGGAAAAAAGAGACAAGAGAGAGGGAAAGAAAAAGAATTTGAAGGTCCTCTTTCAGGCTATCTCTGATCTCATATTATACCACATGCACAGTCATATGCGGAACCCAATCCCCTGGTTATAGCTAGCCAATGGCTGTTCCTCACGACTGAGACTGAACACAATCTACAAAGCCTAACTTTAGTTTCCTTACCCTCAGGGTTGAACTCCACTCCGTTCTATTACAGGTTTCCCCTGCCCTTTCTTTAAAGATGATCAAAGTTCGGAGCTCAGAAAACTACCCTTCATGGGAACCTATGCCTCTGCAGAGTTGGTCTAAGGACTGGCCCGATCAGGAGTTTTGAGAACGGGGGGGGTGTCGTGTGGGTGTTTCAAGGGCGCCCGCGCGGCTACCTTCCTTCCTGGGTCTGTTGTCGCGCAGGCCGGGAGCTCCCACGCAGGCCGGGAGCTCGCGCGCACGCCGCCGGTGATCACAGGCAGGCAGGCAGGCAGGCAGCTCAACTGGATCGAGACCAAAATTCTCTACGTGCCGCCCCTGTGACCATGCACATCAAGCCTCTTCTTGCAAAACCGGAGACCAGTTGTTTCCATTTTTTTGGCTATTGTGTCATTGCAATTTTAGTACACATGCTGCCAAAGCAAGCACTGTATGGTGAATAGTGCTGCGATAACATAGGAGAGCAGCTATCTCTTCACCACACCAATTTATTTCCTCTGGATATATGCCCAGTAATGCTATTGCTGGATCATATGGTAGTTCTGTTTTATTTTTATTAGTGCTGGGAGTTAAACACAGAGCCTTGAACATACTAAACACACACACTCTACCAATGAGCTACACTACCAGCTCTATATCATCTTGTTTTACAATGTTGGGGATCAACCTCAGGGCATGTACTTTCAATTACCCTATTTTAAATTTTTTAGGAGTCTTTATCCCACTTTATATAGCAGCTGTACTAATTTACATTACTACCACTTTAGAAGAGTTCTCTTTTCTCCATATCCTTACCAGCACTTTTTATCTTTTGTCTTTTTGACAACATTCATCTTTACTGGAGTAGGGTAATAGCTCACTGTGGTTTTGATTTACATTTCCCTAATATTAATGACTCTCAACAATTTTTTAAACATTTTTTCACTTGTATGTCTTCCTTTGAGAAATCTCTATTTGGGTCTATTACAGTAGACCCTTGACTCACAAACTCTATTTATTCCTGAAGGCCAACTCAGGTTGGTCAACTGAAGGCTCAGGCTTCTCTACACAGTCTTCAAAGTCTCCTTTGAACAGGAAAATCTCAGTATTTTTAGAGAGGGATTGGCCCAGGATTTCTCAATTAATCCCACATGGGGAAGGATGTTGTAATGTTCCTTCCAGAACTCTTAAAGCGTTCAATCTGTATCTAAGACCATCCGGAAACACAAGTGACCACCATTCAGGTTAGAACTCAAGACTTTGGTCATAAGTTAAAAGCTCTGGTTATAACCCAAATTGTTCATAACACTGGCATAGAAGTATCTGTTTCTGTCTGTGTTTTCAATTCTTCTGACTATACCAAGGGGTAGAATTACTTCATACAGTAATTCTATGTTAAGCTTTTTGATGAGGTATCAAACTTTTTCACAATAGCTGCAAAATTTTACATCACTACCAACAATGTACAGTATAAGGTTCCTAATTTCCCCACAGCCTCACCTACACTTGTTATTTTCCATTTTTAAATTGTGTCCTTTTTAAAGTGGTATCTTATTGTGATTTTGCTATATTTCTTGATTAATTAGTGATGTGGAGCATTTTTTCAAGGTTGGTTATTTCCATATCATTTTTTGAGAAATACCTGACCAGATCCCTTGATCATTTTAAATTGGATTGTCCTTCTGTTATTGAGTTGAAGAAGATCTTTACATATTCTAGATACTGTTGAAGCCATTTTATGACAGCTGCTTTAAAATTCTTTTCACGTAATTCCAACATGTATTGATGATTACCTTTTCAAATTAAGAGTTTCTAGATTTTGGTGTGGCTGATGAATAATTTTCCAGTCTTACAGTCCTCTTTCATCTCTTTTAGTAGCTAACAATATTTTACTTCTTAGCAGTTCCTGATATTACCTTATTCATGTTCATATTTCACGTGCTGATGCACATTTCATGTTCTGATTGAACCCTAACTGATAAGCAATTTTGAGGCAGTAATAAAGCTTTGGGCATAACCATGAATGCAGCAGAGGTAGGTAGAGGAAATGAAGATGTCAACAAGCAGAGAAATGAAGGAATTGGAAGGATCACCTATGTCACACTTGAAGTCACAAAAATAAGAGAATAGAGAAGGACAATTTCCCAGAAGTTTATTAGCTCAGTGCCTTTACTACATTATGCCCATGACTACCAGGTACTTTCATGAATGATCCTAGGACTTATGGTAGAATAACCAGTAATAACCAGTTTCAAACTCAATTCAAAATATTCTGTGTAGAAAAGTTGTCACTGTTAAGTAATGTAAAGAATTCCAATGTCTGGGTCAGAAAATCAGTGCTAACCCTGACTTTATCATGCCCATTCTAGACTTATGACCTAAGCAATACAATTCTTTTCTCTGAATCTGGGTACAACACCATAGTTTCCTCCTCAGTGAAAGAGAATGCTCAATTCTTTTCTGTTTGCCTCACAGAATGACTGTGATAGAACATTGTACACATTATGTGCACAGATAACACGTACATACATACACACATGCAGAGTCATGCTAGAAACCAAGTTTTTCTATTTCCTGAGCTACCAAGGTACATAAATTCTACAGTAAGGCATTCCTTTTGTCCCTACCCTGACTCTGATCCAAGTCTTCCCTTGTGTTTTTCTTTGGCCCACTGCTACATTATGCTACACAACTCCCTAATAATTCTTTCTGAAACACATCTTAACCCAGTGAGGTAATATGACCTCTAAAATCTATCATGGTTGCCTATTACCTATTTAGCAGTCTCATAATCTAGCCTGTCAACCTTGTAATCATACCATTTCCTCGCATGGCCATCTTCCATCCTCAAAACTCAATGATCTATAAACTTGCTATTTCTAATTAAAATGACTTAATAAACATATGTTCCTGCATAGAATGCTTTTCTTTCCCATCTAAAATAATATTTTCCCTTCAAGGCTCAACCCAAACACACCTCAGATCATTCACAGAATAGGGAATGGCCTTTCCCCCTACTGAGTTTCCTCTGCACTCTACTTACTCTTCTCTGGAAGGCTCTTATGACAAATGGCCTTATTCTTGGTTATATTATCTGTAAACATACCACAAATCCTTCACTAGCTAGAAACATCTCTTTTGACAAGACTGTATCTTACTCAACTGCATCTTCTAAGCATTCAGCAGAAAGCCTAGAATGTAATAGGTATCTAGAGAATCTGTGTTAAATAAATCACTAAGGCAATAAGAAGGACTAAACTGTAAGTATGGTTTGCAATGGGGACAAATCTGAATTATGTGTGGAAACCACACAGTATGTCTGGCATGTGAATCCATGGTTGACTCTGTAGAGGGAAAGAGGCTTGGCTGGTAAGGGAGATGCTCCACAGACTCATGTGCCGCATGAACACAGGAGTAGCTCGCCCTCTCTATATTTTGGCCCATGCTGGTTTTCTTCCTCCTACCCTCCACCCCAGTTCTTACTTTCCTACCTTATATGTACATCAGTCTCCAGCCCAGAGGCTCCTTCTTCAACAGCTTTCTCGAAGGCCATCATGGTATTCTCTGGCCCTGCCTGAGGGAGAAAAGCAGATCAGACCTATATGCCTCAGTCTGTCCTTCCAAAATCCATTTTAGAATAAGGATGGAATCTAGCAATGAAAGGGCTTTGGGAAGCAGGGCTCAGCTCCTTTAGTTCTCTCAGAGAGGCTACCTGTATTCTCCTCTTTCTGATCTGACATTGGGTGCAGTAGAAAGAAACAGACTGAGAGTCAGGTGACATAGATTTAAGGTCAACTCCTACAATTAACTCCTGATTCTTGTCATATCAAGACAAGACCATGTTCTTTCCAGAGGCTCCCATGTTACTGAGGCTTTTTTCTCTCACCCACATACCTGCCCCATACATACCTGTGCTCGGTCAGATTCATCATGCTCAGACCTACCATGGGTGAACCTCTGTGTGCAAAGAAGACTGGCTTAGGCCCCAACTCTTCCTTCTCTTGAATGCAAGGAGAATAAATCCCCAGTGGCATTGCGTAGAGACATATGAGAATAAAAAAAAAGGGCAATCCAACAGCCAATTGTAGAGCTAAAACAGTTGGAAGGAGAAGAAAGTGGAAGAAAAGGAAAAGAGGGATGGAAAACCATGTCATGCAACAAACTACCTTAAAGGAGTAGTCTAAGTAAATATCCTGTTCATGGGGTTCACTGACTCTAGACTGGCTGATTTACTTTCTATTTCTGTCACATCCCTCCTTACTTTCAGGGACTTGGATATAAATGTATAGGACCGTCCAAATGTAAGACAGTAGTATTAAGGTAACATAACTAAACTGAAAGATGATGGAGAATAGAATAATTCAGAGAATGGGCAGGGAAGGAAGGAGAGCCACTTCCCAGCAGGAGCGCAGCTACTTCTGAGAAAGTCCTAAAGCTTATAAAGATCATGGCAAAATGCGCACGTATTTGGGTCATAAAGGACAGAAGAAAGGGCACTAAATGACAGAAATTTGGGTTCGAAGCCAGGCTTTATCATTTCCTAATTGTGTGACTGAGGACCATGAACCTTAACCACTCTGGTCTTCAGTGTCTTCTGTAAAATAGGGCTACCTTGCTGCAAACATCAGCATTGCAGAGTTTTTATAAGAGTATCCATTCATAATAGTTACTCATAAATATTAAGTTGCTTCGCCTTTTCCCTCTCTTCCCTTCTCTCTCTCCTCCCCTCTCAACTATGCACAGGTGCACACATATATTCATATATAGAGCCTGTCCGTGATCCCTGGTATTCCAGACCATTTCCCAACACTTACTATTTCAGAATTCTGAGGATTTTACCCATTTGTACATTTTTAAGTTACCACCTATGCTTCCACGATTTTCAAATCTAGGTCTCCAGCTCTAACCTCTTAACCTCGTGAATATATTACATTTCTTGAGTCTTTCTTTGTTGTAATATGACATCCTGTGTCTTCTTATTCTAACTAAAATTTAGAAAATGAAAAAGAAAAAGAAGTTATTATCATCCTCTTTAAGCTCTTTCCCCAGAAATATTTCCTGAAGTTTACCCTCTATACAGAAACACACATATATAAACATATCCAACCATATCGAACTAGCCTTTCCCTTGCCTGTAACCTCCTGCAAGTCATAAAGCAAACACCCCTATTTAACAAATAGCAAAAAAAAAAAAAAGAAGAAGATGATGATGATGAACATGGGATCTGTGTAATCTAGGAGACAGGCATAACCCACAAACTCAAAAACCATGTTATGACTTCTAAAGCCCACTGAGAATGGTACAGAATCATGCAGAGTTAAGTCATCTTGGGATGCCTGTGTTGCCACAGTATATGAAATGACAGTACTAGCGACTACATACAAACTTGTTAAC